ATCTGAATCTATCTATCTATCTGTCTGTCTGTCTGTCTGTCTGCCTGGCTGGCTGGCTGGCTGGCTGGCTGGCTGGCTGTCTGTCTGTCTGTCTGTCTGTCTGTCTGTCTGTCTGTCTGTCTGTCTCTCCATCTCTTCATCTCTCCATCTCTCAGCCTTTCAGTGTCAAGCGGCTGCCACCCTTGGCCACATCCCTTCGATGCGGTCTTCATAATGGCTCCCGGTCGCAGTTGCTTTGGGGGTCCGGGCCCCCCACGTACGGTGACCTGGCTTGCTGCCATTCTCGTGTTGCTCTACGCCGCCCTGACACTGCCCGGTCCTGATTCCGGGCCCATGCTCACGAGACCTGGTATGAATAAGAAAGGTTTTGAGTATGGGAAAGGGAGAGGTTGGGAGGCGGCCCAGAGCCTCCCTGAAAGGGGGTTCACTCCTCCTTGGAAGGAACAGGTGATCCCTGAACCACTGGGCAAAGGGCTAGAAGGATTCCCCGGGATCGAGAAGATCAAGAAGCGGAGTCTCCGCAGGGCCTACAAACGGCTTGCATTACATGGTTTTGCAATACATAGAGGACAGATGGTGGTGAAGCCTACTCCACAGCATCCACCGTCCTGCCCTTCTCATTTCACTGGTCATAGGCAGGCCCCCAGACGCACCAGGAAACGAATGACAGTTTTCTGCTGGAATGCAATGGCCTTGACATCGGCCTCCTTCACGGAGTTGGTACAATGGCTGGCTTTGCAGAGGATTGATGTGGCGCTCATCCAAAGCACACACTGGTCCATTGAGGAACCTTGGGTTGCATATGGATATAGCTTCATCCCATCACCAGAATTGCATAAATCTGGTGGAGGTTTGCTCACTTTAATCCGAACTGAATTTTGCCGCCTGGATGCGTTGAGTTATCAAGATGCTCACCAGGGCCGCCTGCTCCACGTACGTTGCCACGTCCATGGCCACTGCATTGACGTGATCAACGTGTACCAGTTTCCGGTGGGACAAACGCTCACAGACGCAGCGACCCCCAAAAAATGAGACATGATCTTTGGCTGGGGCTCACTGGCTTGGTACAACACCACGGTTGGACACGGAGCCCAAGCTGGCTTTCCAGATGCTTCTTGTCTGAAAGATTTGCTTCGTACATATCAGCTGACAAATACTCGAGCACATGATTCCACCCCCAGCTACTCTGGTCCTAGGGGATCATCAAGCGTCGACTTCCTGTTCATGCGTAAGGTACAATGTGACAGAGCTGCCATGCACACTAGGTGTCTCAAAGACTTCCCACTTACGCAGGCACGTGAGCGCCCAGATCATCGACCTCTCCTTGGTCACTTCCCTGCTGATTGGAAGGTGTGGTATCAACATCGAACACCTGGGACTACCGCAAAATCCATGGGCAAGCTGACGCGCAATTTGAACAGTGTTTATCAGTCACACCGTACACGATGGCGCTCCTTTGTTGATCAGGCCACAACTATGATTCAGAATGATCACTCTGACCCTCCTGGATTGGTGAAGAAGATACTTGGTCAATGCCAGGCAATTCGAGAACGGACACAGCAAGCAGTTGGGGTCTGGCAACACGAAGCTCGATCGTTTGTGGCCAGGAAATGGCGGCAACTGTTCTGGGCACGTTCACAAGCTGGCAACCTTCGAGGCATCGTACGGGCGTGGGCACATTGGACAAAATTCCACC